CAACCCGATCACACCTAGTGAAATCTCGAAGGCAGCATCTCGCTTGAGGAATCGCAGGGCATGGACCAGACAATATTCCTGGAGAATTGCTCAAATATGCCACGGACGAGCTGGGACCGATCATCGCCTCCCTCATTAACACTTGCATCGACAACGGCACTGATATGTCATCCGTCATTGGTACTGGAACGCTAATTCCATTAAACAAACCAAACAAGACCAAGGGCCCAGTCGCTAACATGCGTCCCATCATTCTGTTAAACACCATACGAAAACTCCTCTCCGAGCTCTGGTCGTACTCAGCCGTATTTTCGGGCAAGTCTCCGGGTACCTTGGCGACACGCAATCTGGATTCAGAGCTGGTCGCAGCACAGCAGATGTAGTGTGGACGCAGAGATATCTCTCTGCCAAGGCGATACGGTACCGTTGGGATTTCCACATCCTCGGCCTAGACATGTCAAAAGCATTTGACACGATTAACAGAGATAAACTCCTGGTCACCATGAAGAATATTACGGGTCCTGACGAAGTTCGCCTTATACATCACCTGCTACACAATACAACAATAACGGTCAAGATTGGGTCGGCCACATCGCAACCGTTTTGCAGCACGATTGGTACCCCACAAGGGGATGGCCTCAGTCCGGTGCTATTTATATGCTACCTCGAGGCTGCACTACGTGAGTGCAGAGCCAACTTCCCAAGCAGACCAGCAACAGACAACCTACTCCCCCACGAGACCGGATATGCGGATGACATCAATTTCTATTCAAGGGACCGCAAGTGGCTGGAGGCCAGTCTGCCTATACTATCGGACACTCTCGGTACGGGGTCCTTAAATGTCAACCAATCGAAGACTGAGTGGATACATCTGACAGCGGACTCACACGATTGGTAGACTTCGAAGCAACTTGGATCATTGATTGGGGAGGAGGATGACTGTGGCAGACGAATGAGTCAAGCGTCAACATCCTTCGGACGGATGTATACGGTGTTGCTGAGGAGAGAGCACATCACAGAGACGAGAAGGTTACGTCTGTACGATGCCATTGTCCTCCCGAGTCTCCTATACAACTGTGAGGCATGGGGATTGACGGCAGGAAACCTCTCCAAGGTTGACGTGCTCCACAGAAAGCAACTTCGATGCATCCTGGGTATCAAGCTGCAAGACAAAGTCAGCAATGAACGCCTGTATGAACGTTGTGAAACCTGCCCAGTATCCACCCTGATTAAACAGCGAAGGAGGAGAATGACAGGACACATCCTGAGAATGTCCCCCAACACACCCGCCCGCAAAGCCATGAACATCTACTTGACCCAAGACTCCCGAGGTCGGCCAGGGCGCCCAAGAAGGACGTTGGCAACCAGCGTTGTGGAGGACATGAGAGAGGCCAGAATAACTTTCACCACAGTGCGGGATCTCGGCCTGGCGACTGAGCGGGCAAGGGACAAACCGGCATGGAGAGCGATGGTCTACAACTTATGATACTGAACTAGAACAACGGAAAGATTCATCAAGAGATAGCAGCGGACCGAACATTAGTGTTGTACAATATTAATGTTCCATTACGCGCAACTGTGTTATTATTATTATTATTATTATTGAATCATGAAAATCGGCTGAACTGGAGCAAGTAACCGAAAATGAATGTGAGATCGAGTTCCTGTGCCTTTCCGAGTCATCGTGAGGTAGTTTCAAGAGGACGTAGAAGTTGCACCGTCGTGCATATTGAGATGATAGCTACCAGGATGGATTCGCTTGGTCTTGTTCTTTCCAACAAGCCCAGGTTGACGAAAATCCATCAAGGTGAACTGAATTGAGAGACAAATTCGTTCGGACCTATGCGCGAAAACGACACCAGTAGAGTCAGTGCGCTGGAACTGCAGTTTGCTGGAGGAAAGGGGGCCAACACGGAAAGGGTTAAATCCCAGAGTTTTGGGGGATTTCAGGGGGTGCCGGCCATTGGGCGGTTCAATAGCCTATTGAGTCATCTTTCCAAGATTCCTTTTGGGTCTCTCTCTCTGCTCTCCCAAAAGTCCCAAGGGGAGACCCACGTGACCAGTCATGGCAGAGAGCAAGTACAAGTATATGTAGAGTAAAACCTGTAACTAACGACCACCCCTTGCCCTTGGTGCCAGCAAAAGCGGTCTTTAGTGGCAGGTGGTCTTTAGTTAGAGGTTTGCACCGCGCGACCATATAAGGATCCCGTAATGATATGTATGTCAAAATGCAGCTAATTCAATTCCCCAGGACTTGCGTAATGCCATTCTTATTTCAGGTCAAACAACACTTGGAGAGAGAGACGGAGAGAGACAGAGAGAGAAGATTAATTTTTTGCAGGCATCAAATTCAGCTGCTACTTCTGAAGCCAGGAGTCAAACGTTCCCTGTAGAAGTTTCGTTTTACGCTGGGCTTCAAAGTTGTTCATGCGATCAATCGTACCGACTGTCCTTGTTGTGACTTCTCAATCGCTTGAACGCGATCCTTCAGGCATCAGGACCTTGTGGTGCTGCTTTGTTTCTGGATTCCTTGGTGCCAACCTCGATTCGCCTGTATGACTGGAGTGACAGAGCCGCTCAGTCTTCGTTTCTCCTCCGAGTAGTAACATCGATCAGAGAGCGCTTTCGATGCGCTCTCCAAGACGTTTCCTATCATGTTTATTCTTGACAGCGCTTGCAATGTTGGCAGGTGTAGTGCAGTCCACGCCGACTCCACAGTCAAAATGACCTGCGTCCGTTTGTTCAGCTGTAGTATCGAAATCCTTTCAGGACCATGGAAAACCAGCAAAATTTCAAGAAGGAGCTTCGAGCAACATTTGATTTCCTATATCGCGGTCGCTAGTTACGGGTCAAAAATCGTCTTTGGGGCAAGAAAAGGCGGTTGCTGGTCGCGTTCAGTAGGTAGTCGCTAGTCACACTGCAATTTGAATGTGAGACCGTCCGTGCCTGGGAAGTGGTCGGTAGTACTAGGCTGGTCGCTAGTCACGGTGGTCTTCAGTTACAGGTTTTACTGTGCAAGTACAAGTGTATGATATAATCCAAAACTGGTAAACCAGTATTAGATAAACCTTGTTGTAGTTCACGCAATTGTTAGATTGACAGCTCCTTGTTTCATGCTGTCAATCTAACAATTAAGTACAAGTGTGTATGTGCGTACCGTATTATCTCCCGTATAAACACGGTACTTATATTTTTCAACCCACCTCGCACCCGTGCTTATACTGACTGAGAGGAGACCGTGATAATACTGGAGACCGTGTTTATATTTTTTCAACCATGAAAAAGTCAAGAAAGTTGCATACCGGTAACACACACAAATTGGAATTTAACTCAGATTTCATGATTAGAGAACAGAGAGAAGAAAAAAGAATGATGCGGAAGTGGAAGTCACGCACGTGGAGCACTTTAAGTCTTTTTATGTTTTATATGACTGTATGACTGCGCACAGCTGCATTCCAGTATTATCACTGTGACTATTATTATTATTATTATTATTATTATTATTATTATTTTATTAACTGGTTTGAGGGAAAGAGACAAACGGGAAAAGTCTGAAGAAAAAATTGACTGTCACCACCAGGACTCGAACCAGGGACCCTCGCTTGTAGCCAGCGATGCTCTAACCACTGAGCTATGGTGTAGTCGTCATCCCAGCAGAGACCGTTCAACGTTTTCTTCAGACTTCGTATTATTATTAAATTTTGAATAGGGCAGTCCCACAGGCCTAGGGCCTTTTTACAGGGTACCCTATGAATTGTTGAATAGATGAACGGAAGTTTCTGAGCAAGGAGATTGTGCGAATATCAGCAGGAAGCGCATTCCAACTTTCAGAACCAAGAAAGCTAAGCGAGTATGTTGGAGACTGTGCGTTTGCAATCTCGACAGCCCTCCGACCTGTGCTTATAATGGAGACTGTGCTTATAATGGAGACCTGTGTTTATAAGAGAGATAATACGGTATGTGGTGTGTGTATTGACCGTTTGCGGGTGCCATCAACCTCGTGTAATACTAATAGTACTGATCCATTCTCTGACACCTCAGTCCTGGCAAAGTCATTTGTTGAGATTTCGTTGAGATTTCGATGAAATTTTCAATGCTTCGCGAATTCGAAATAGTGGTTGCGACCGTGGCTTGCTTCGCGTATGCCGTGTAGAGGACATAATTATTATGCCTCATTGTAAGAACAGGCCATGCATATGGACATGCGCCGCGGAATTCTAGGACTCACCTGTCACGGAGAGTGAAACTAGAGAGCTGAGTCGTTTCGCCTCCTGCTTCTGGGCGTGCAGCCACACATCCAAGCTGTTGCGGACCCTAGACTAGGCCTAGTTGCGTTACAGGTTGAGGGCGGGATGTCTTCTCCACTCCTGTTTGTTCGTTGCCAGTGGCGGGATGTGTCGGATCGATGCAGTGTCGCTAGTCGCCATCAACCCGCGGAGTGCCCTCTGTACTGTCTTGACCGCTCCGCAAACCTCAAAACCATTAGAAATTTCCTGACTTGGCCTTTTCGTCAGCCGCGTCAACATCGAAAAAGAAGTGCTGGCCGAAGAGAGTCTCGTTACAACATTGTAATTTGTCCAGCCGTACCCGGCCGTCTTGTCCGAGCGCCGAGCGGCATGGCCCAGCCCAGGCCCACGAGCACTCTACATCCTGCATGCAGCGCTGATCGAACGACGAACGCGGGAAAAAGTTAAAAAAAATATAAAAAAATAATAATAAAATAAAAAGTCTACAGCACGAGGTATTCCCAGGCGGTCACCCATCCAAGTACTAACCTCGCCCGACGTTGCTTGACTTCGGTGATCGGACGAGAACCGGTATTTTCAACGTGGTATGGCCGTAGACAATGACACCTGCTCTACGGAGGTTCATATCTTTGTTGTACTCGAGTACACAACAGAACGACTTACGACTCGTCACTTACGTGCACATGTGACAACTGCGTGCTTTGATGTACAATAATTTATACTAATTATAGTTCGAAAAGTCTGCTGCTCAAGATCTTAGCATCATCTACAGAAAATAGTTCACGATCAATGAGGTTTGGGTTTGTACCTATCATTTTGATTCTTGTCAAGATTTTTAACATCATGTGAAGCGTCACCATAGGCATAGGTGAAGCTCGATCGAAGGGAAGGGCAAGATTGCAAACGGGCAAAGTGCCTCTGTCGTAAATGTTTTCCCTTGCTTCAAGATCGTCCCTTCTTCTTCTCATCACAGTCAACTTTTTCTATTGTGTGTTCTGTGGAGATCAGTCTAACCCAAATGGTAAGTAAAGTTGTTGTTGCACACTAGTGTAACTAGTACAGGCATCATCACACGGTCACCAGAACATTCATCGCTCTCCGCAATTTTGCTCGTGATTCTGAACAGTTTCATGACAATGTCATGTCGACACTCAAGTTACACATTCGAAATGTCTTATTTCTGAGTACATACTGTGACAGCAAACACCAATGACCCTATATATTTTCAACCGCCAGGTACATTTGTGGCACATCATTGGGGGTGCAGTACCAGTGTAATTCCAGTTACTATTCACAGTATTCAGTATTCACCAAAGAACCTGAATGGTAGCAGATCAATGGTACTCGAACGTCTTGGGACTGGGCATTGCCCGTATGTCCGATTTGCCTGTAGCTGAGGATAACTCATCTACCTGCCATGTTCATATCAGTTTTTGATGAAGTTTATGTGGCACATATTGGCCATGTACAGCTTAAAAAATTAAAAATCCATGAATGATAATGTGTGGATTACACAGCTTGGCCGTGACAAGAGTTTAAAAATATTAACCCTCCCGATTCTTGCCATAGCAACTCAGGCTGAAAGTGCGCGGTAGAGAGATGTGCCCGTACCTGAGGTGTCCGGATAGGAGGCGTCTGAGTGTATGTGTATGATTGGGCCAGTCTCCAGGGCTGAAATACAGTGGCTGAGTTTCGGCATACACTGCATACATGTAGGACTGTCGAGCGCCGAAGAACCGGGGGGGGGGGGGGGGGGGGGGGCAGAGACGTAGCCTAGGCCTTTCTTATTTTTCATGTACAAGTCTATGCACAGTTGAGCCACAGTCACATAATAATTATATCGGTATGCTGTGCTGTGTGAAATCCTAGCCTGTTCGTTCTTGGGCGCTCGGCAGTACTGTAGTCGATTGCGTAGTTTTTTCCCCAGCTTATTTGTTTTGTTTTAATTCTTGCATTTCCTACCCAGGGCCAACATTCAAGCTGCTGTACGGTGGCATTCTTGTCAAGGAAGCGGAGCAGTTGTATAGTACTTCGGACGAAGCAAGCACTGTTATAAATGTTAGTTCTTTACCTGACTTAAATACGGGGAATAAGTTGATTTGAATTTGCATGGCAGTTTGCGAATCTGTTTGTGCAGATTGCTCTCCAGATTTAGTTTCAAGAGCAAAAGGCAAACAAATTCCTTCATCAATACAGTAAAACCTGTGACTAACGACCACCCCTTGGGGCCAGAGAAAGCGGTCTTTAGTGGCAGGTGGTCTTTAGTTAGAGGTTTGCACTGCACAACCATAATAATATATGAATGTGAGACCGTCCGTGCCTGGCAAAGTGATCTGTAGTACCAGGCTGGTCACTAGTCACGGTGGTCTTTAGTTACAGGTTTTACTGTATTACGATCGTGTGTGGCATGATGCAGTGTGACTATGCATGTACAGTGTACACAACACAGTGATGGGTGAATCCGTGCCTGTCATACCCTGGTATGGTGGCACACTACCATCAAGTCATCAAGTATTTATTGGACTGAAAGTCCGTCTTTCTTTCTCCAAACTGCTAATGAAAGTGGGCAGTTGCTTGTCACTTCTCGCCCAGCGCTCGTCTGCTAATCAAAGGGGGGGGGGGAACACGTAAATTACCCACTGCCGTATGTAGCTGGGGTGTGGAGCAGTTAGGATTCTCCTCTCCTCTACCCTAGGACAGCCATTGGCTGCCTCGCAACTAAATGAGAATCAATACTGGAAGTTCAACTCGGATGGTGAGCCAATTAAATTATGGTGAAAAGGAGAAGGACAAAATGTTACGAGTTATGACTAACTGTCCACCAACGTAACCAGATCTTATACAGTCAGCGAGTGCGACAAAATGGCACAAAACTGACAAGGAGTACTGAGACATTCGGCGACCTGACACCTAGCTCCAACACTTCTCCAAGGCGCAAACCAACAACCTTCCAATTTGGAAGGCTCAGGTTCGGAAAGGTCCAAGAGGGGAACCCCGCCGAATGTCTCAGTACTCCTTGTCAGTTTTGTGCCATTTTGTCACACTCGCTGACTGTATATGATCTGGTTACGTTGGTGGACAGTTAGTCATAACTCGCAACATTTTGTCCTTCTCCTTTTCACCATAACACTGGAAGTGCTGACTCTTGTTTTGTTGTGGTGTAGACAAGGACCGTGTTCCTTTGGAGCTACAGAGACTTGTTACTGGTAGCCCAAGCAAGTGGCGTCATGCTATTGGCAGGGTGAATGTGGCGAGGTTAGTTAACGTAGGACATGGCGAACATCCACTGGTGTTTCTGGCTCTCCAATTCATAGGATGAAGCTTTACGCCTTCCGCACCTATGAAATGGTTGTGTCAACGACCTAGTAGCCGCGGCTTGAAGATATGTCATGTATAGGCTGTACCAAGAGAACAGTACCAGTGTGGTTCTCTCATGTTGCAGGCAACACTGAAGCTTGCTGATAAGCGTGGCCTGGCAGGCTATGTACCAACTGATGAACAGCTACTACGCGATGCCATTGCCAGCAACGTTACCAAACTAGTGAGTGCCTGTGTACTGTCCTGCTGGTCGAGAGTTATACACCCTCTCGCACCAGGACCATGTGTATTTACTATTGTCTTTAGTTCACTCGCATGTCAATGCCAGCGTATACATATGGATATGTATGTCGTGTGTGTTTGTACAGACAGGTTTCTAATACTAGTACTAGTAGTAGGCTGTCATGTGCACTGCTGCAGTCATGCTGTACTGCTGTACGTCCGATTGCTGTACTTGTATTACTTGTAGAACTTATTGTCAGTATTGCAAGGAGCACGTCAAGGAACCTCAGCAATAATGTGTTATGCCTGGTGTTGCTGCCCTACTTGCTGGCTTTCTGCTGTAGAAATTGATTTCAACGCATGATGGCTCCACTCCGTCATTCTACATGCACCAGGGACGGGGCAAGGATGGCAGGATGCACAGATTCAGGCGGCAGATGTTCTTTGGTGTCCTCTACGAATTCACGCTGTCTTGGGCCTTGCCGGCCGTAAGCGCTCATGATCTTGGAAGTGGTATCGAGTCACCCTCGTTTGTCATCACACACCATTTTACTGTCAACCGTGACCTGCGTAAAAAGTTCTACCTGTTCAAGCACCGTGTGTTCTGCACAGGAGGTGCAGCAATCGGTGGTACGTAGTCTACTGGCACGGCTCTCTCTTGCATTCTTCTTGCACTCCCATATTCGTGCTTGAGGTATTGCAGATTGATTTGTGTGCGTAGTGCTGGTGAAGTTTCTAACCCGGTCTTTGTGTCGTGGCGGTATTCCAGTCTGCTTGGGTAGTGCATACTTGTGTGTGGTTGTAGCTTTCGTGACAGGCTTACAACAGGACGGTGTTACCTGTCACCAACAGTCCACCCAAAAGCGTGCAAAACTATGAACTTCGCATCACGTGACAAACCCAGACACATTATTTGCACCCTGAGCATGATAGATACAGGGTTCATCTCTCTTGTGGTCACTTTGCACTGTTTTCCAGCGTAATCTTTTGAACCATGTCTTGTGATGTGAGTTCTGGCGTCGCAGCACTATATAGAGGTTGTACAGGCAGTTGCACACTCTTGGGGTTGTGTAGTCTTGGTATTCCTAATAGGCCTATGGCACAACGGTACTAGTGTGACGCGCCATCATGTTTGGTCGCTGCTCTGTCTTGTGCAGAATGAATTGAATTTTACACCATTTACCGCAAGTGCATACATGTATAATATTGTTCGCCAAGGAACGATCAGTCGATCAGTCTTCTTTCAGTCCTTTCTTATCCAACCTAATGAGCCAAAGGTCTATTGAGGAAAGTCGAACTTACGCATTTTCTGGGTTCTAGCATAGTTTTTAAGCTCACAATTATGGAAATCAGACTGAAACTCCACTCATATCTCGCTCATCTGGGCGGTCCTGCGCCAGGCACTGCCCATAACTTTCAAATGTCCGTAACTCTGAAGCACATCTGTTTCAATGGTGAAGGGCCAGAGATTTTGCAGTTGACGTCACTTGTAGCTCCACGAAATTTGGCGAAGCAGTAGAAATTTCCACTAGAACTCACCCTGCATGATAGACCAAGGTGATTGTAATTTTGAGATCCGGATAAGAGAGATATGGGGGTATGATTATTTGAAGGTATAATTTGTGGTGGCTCTGCCATTGCTGCAGCGGGTGGTGGTGTCCCATGGAGGAAAAGGGGTTTACACGATATTCATTATCGGCCGAATGATTAATTTTCCTCCAACGTCGTGCCAATTCACTGTTGGTCTTCTGTAGGTGCCTGCAGTGCAGAGTCGGGCTGTGATGAGCGGCAAAGTACATCGTCGCTTATGTCAACAGCTGCTCAACTTGCCACCGGCTCAAGCACTGGCGAACCAGTGCCCTCACTGCAGCCATGGAAACAGTGTCAACAGCACGGGCACCTTCCATCCAGCTTTCACGCTGCCACCACTCTCTCCGTGCTGTCTTACAACATTTGGAACTTCAACCCGGCAGATGCATATGATGATGAGTACGCTCAGAGAGTGAAACGAATAGGAAGAGTATGTACCTGAGTATGTTCTCTCAATGCACTGCCATGTATTAAAAAGCGAGACATGATAATGCACCACTATCTACTGTATCTATCTATCTACCTATCTATTTATCTATCTATCTATCTACCTACCGTAGAGGCCTGTAGTAAGGTCCTGGGCGGAAACATTAGCGAAGGTCTAGAACATGGGCATCGACTTGAGCCTGGGCGCTGATGTGGGCCCGGGCGTTACGTTGGATAAGCGAGATCAGACTGATTTTCACATCAACATGCCATCCTATGTACAGGGTTAGCACAGTGTACTGTACTCGTACAGGTGGGCTAGAAAATGGGACAAGAGAGTTGACACCCGACACCTGGGCAAGTACGCGGGCATTATACTGGGTGGGCGTTAATTCGGGCCTTTACGATATCTATCTGCCGATCTATCTCACCTGAATGGCTCCCCTCTCTCTCTCTCTCTCTCTCTCTCTCTCTCTCTCTCTCTCTCTCTCTCTCTCTCTCTCTCTCTCTCTCTCTCGCTCTCTCTTTCTCTCTCTCTCCTATATTTCTGTGTGCTCTTTCCTTCTTCTACCTGCAAGTATGCTTGTGTATTTTTGAGCAGTGTTGCTGACTGCTCGCTGTTGGAAATCAATCAGCGCCGAATATTGGTGAAGTAAAGGTAGAATTTGTGTGCAGGTCAACACTATACTATAATTTACTGCAGTTCCGGAATGGGAGCATTTCCTGCCACCAGACAATGTCTTCTTGCGCAGTTGCTGTCAGAGCTATGACGTCCTGCAAGCGGTTGCCGAGGAGCTGAGATCAATAAACCTGCGCAGGAATGTCCTGCTGGCCGGAATCACCTTTGCAGCCAATGCCAGGAGTCCAATAAGAGATAGCAGTTCCTGCTTTGAACAATGCTGCGTGGTACTCCAGTTAGCAAACCGGTGCCGCATTTCTGCAGTTTGGGCGCTGGGAGACGTATCTCCATGGCAATGGTGTCGATCTCCAAGGCGAGCACTGCCGACGTGCTATTGGGACCCGCCACCTTGTCTCTCTGCGCCTTCCGCCACTGGAATGCCTAAGTTGTCGAACACTTGCAAAGCGGTATTTTTGCGCGGCCTGGATAATCCTGAGCTGGTGCTCCAGGAGGTCACCGCAAGGACCAGGAGCGCCGTCACAGGCAATGATGCTATACATCAACCAGGCCTCGGTCCAGTCCGCGAGTGTCTCGATCTTCCTCCTTGGTGTGGACACTGTTGAAATACATACTGCCGAATCTGCGCTCTCGTCCAGGCGAATACGCTTGGCCGGAGGTTCAGACGAGACGACATGACTGGGCAGGACCGAAGCCAGGTCAACATACTCGAAACTGTTAATCTTTCGCGTGATATCCACCGACACGTGGGCCACGCAAGAGGGCAGGCAGCCTGGTCGCCACAGGAAACGTACCTTGAACACCACTCGCCGCGGCCTGGTCCTCCGCCGTTGGTGTGGGGTGCGCTGCGGCGTGCTGCTCCTGCGAGGTTGGCGCGAGCTGAGCTAAAGCAGAAGAAACTGCGGTGGCCGTTGTCTCCTTAATGGCAGCCAATTGAGTCTGCGAGAGCTCCATGATGACAAGAAAACCAAAAAAAACTTAAAGGGCGCAAGGGCAAAGAGTTGCTGCGGTGCCAACAAGCAGGAGACAAGAGTGCCCTCAACTTTCTTTGGTTAGCCTCGAAGTGCGCTTGCGCAGGCACCGCGTGCAACCGCCCCATGCTGAAAGGGGCAATCAGATATGCGCAGGTGGAGCAGCAGGGCAAGATGTGTGCCGGAAGCTCACCGTCATCCGGCCGACCTCGTGGTTGTGTGGCCTTACACAGCCAGCACTTCTTACTTGTTGTAGCTTGCAGAAGGCCAGCATTTTTTCTCTCTTTCCCTTCTACCAGACGTGGCTTCATGTTAGAGCAGTAAATAGCAGTTAGGGACTCAGCGTGTCAAGTTTGGCATACTGGTAATACAAGAAGCACGCTATCCCCAAACAGTTGTGTGGTTATTGTGTGAGTGTACATGCAGGAGTCCGCAGGCACGTGAGGGGGGAGCGATAACTCTGGTTATGTATCACCTACGGTACCCTGCAATGTGGAAATTGGTGAACTACCCTCTTTCCCTCAAACCAATGAATACTGCTTGACAGAACAATATTCCTTGAATGCTGTGTTTCTGTAGCTTGTGCGCCAGTCTGGTGCAGCGATCATTGCCTTCCAAGAAGTACGGTTTGATTACGGCCGTGGTGGACATCTCGGGCCCAGCCAAGTTGACCACCTCTCCGCTGAGCTGAAGGGCTTTCAGGTATGTGCATGAGTAGAACACCGAGACATTGGTTACAGCCCCCCCCACCCACCCCACCCCGTGTGGTGTAGTCGAGTGAGTAGTCGAGTCTTGTGCTCAACAGGAAACCCCCTCAACAGACGAACAACCTTTGGAGAATCCTTTAATACGAATACTCAAGTGAGCTGGGTGCAGTGTATGTAGAAGGGCGAGGTGATGAATATTCAAGCTTAGGGAGCCATGCATACTGCGGTGGCCTTGGTGGACTGGTATGAGGTCGGAATTGATTTTCCTCTACGCTCTCTTTCGTCGTACTTGTGTGCCTTTTTGTTCTGTGTCGCTACCAGTTTGTGTTCCAAGCAGCCATGACGTATCCGGAAGGAATTCATGGCCGTGTGGAAGAAGGACCAGCAGTGTTCTCTGCGTTTCCTATCATCTCCAGTGACTACATCTTCCTACCCAGGTATAAACCGACTGCTGTGAGTTCTGATGCCAGTTGCATGCCACTCACTCCAGCAGTAGCTATGCATCCAGCTTGTGCAGGCTTTGGTTATTTGATGCATCTGTCTTGGCCTACCGTATTTTCCCGTTTATAAGTCGACCCCGGTTATAAGTCGACCCCGGTTATAAGTCGAAGCCCCATACTTGGGACCTCGATTTCCCCGTTTAATGGCAGTTAAATCCCGATTGTAAGTCGACTACCCCCTTTTTAGTTCCGTTTTTAGGTCGAAAAAGGTCGACTTATATTCGGGGAAATGCGATATCTTCAGTCTGATATTTGATCATATCTCTCTGTGCTGTAATCTCTTGCCGCTGGCTTTGCACAGGGACCTGGAGAATGACCAAGATGTACATCAGCGTATTCTGCTCCATGCACAGATCTCCACACCTCAAGTCGGCTTGGTAAGAAACGCCAAGTGCGGGGTGTTTTTAGCAGCAAGCTAAATGTGATGCAGGCTAGCTTTGGTGTTCTACAGTTCATGATCTCGTGTATTTAATTAGTGGTTGTGTACCCACACACATACACACACGTATGTTGTGTATCTGCTCACTCATGTCTCTGTGTCTGTGCATGTGGAATTTGTTTTAAAAGGTACATTTGTTTGTAACCCACCTTTCGCTAAGTGAAGTTGCGCGCAATAGGTATGTACCTAAGTGACCAAGTGTGTGCTTGCCTTTTTGTGTCTGAGTTTTCTAATTCTGCTTCATCTACATGTATAATAGAACATGTTTCAAGGTTGGATCCGGGGCTATACACTGCGTTTTAGGGACAACCATAGCATTGCTGCTTTTCAGCTGGCTTAAACACCCCCCCCCCCCCCCCCTGTCTGGTACATGTAACATATTTGCTGGAGTGTACTTCGCAGTAAGTGTACTGCAAAAGTTCTTCTTGTGAATCTTTTTGGACTAGTTAATGTGCATTTGGGACATACTAATTTTCTTGAGTATAGTGCACTAGTGGGATTTGGAGCCAAGTGCATACACAGTTCATACGATAAGTGTTTGTCGCCAAGTATGATACCAACTGCTGGATTTTGTTCTTGCTTTTTAATCTTCAGATCTGTGGTGAGGATATGGCAGTACATGAAGCAGTTTGATGGTCTTCTAATCCTGGCTGGTGACCTGAATGCTGAGCCACAATCGGCAGCGATGCAGTGAGTATTCAAGCTAGAGTATCTCAGCACCTTCTTTTGGGGGACGGTGCATAAGTTGCGACTCCTTTCTATGTCAGTGATCAAACTACCTGGGTAACTAACTTCAAGTTGACAAGTGCGATAACGTGATGAATGTTGTTGCTGATTTCACATTGCTCTTGTTCTTGTTGTTCTTGCTGCCATGATTTTATGATAATCATACTGAACTTTTGCCTGGCCATGCTGAGGGCAGCGGGTGTATGGGATCTGATGAATTGTGCGCATGCGTGAAGGAGTGAGGCTGGAAGTCCTGCTGGGAGGTATGCTTGCTTCACTGGGCTATGCTCTTGTGAATCTGACCGGAGAAGGTCTTGTCTTCTTGCTCTGCCCTGGTCAGGTACTTGGCCGGTCTGGCAGAGATTGATGGCAGCTCAACCCACCAGCTACGGGACGCTTGGACAGTGTTTCACAAAGAGCCGAGGTACAGTTTACTGTGTTATTGTACGTTGGTCTGTACCTTGTTCTGCTCTGGTGTGCACATGATCAAGCCAGTGCAAGTGAGTGTTGCTGGCACTTTCCTGGCCCGGCCTTTCCATTCCTGTATTGGTGAACAGGCAAGGTTTGCACGTGGTCCGTTGTAATTGATTGCATGGGCATGGCTTGGATCCTTTTTTGTTGCTTGAGGTTAACGTTTAGCACTGTACGTATGCAATCATGACTTTCTCTCCGTGTCACCCTCTTGTCATTGATCTATCATTGGGAACCTGTGAAGTTAATTCAAGTTATGTCTTCTCTAGCGCACGCCCTCTTCACATGCAGATCTGTAGGAAGCGTGGTGACGTCCAATGTTGCACTCTTGAAACAGGTTTTGGTTACTTTGTTCATGGCTGTATATTGTTGTGATCACAGACCCGCTGCTCCTGATGTGTATGATGACCTTGAGGAGCATGACCATGGTCTCACCTTCAGCACACTTGACGATGACTTGGTGAAGCGAGTAAGTACGAAGTTGGGAGATGTAATTGTGAGGGCGATGCTTGTGAACTACAAGTAGGCCACCATTCACTATTCTCCCAAGCGTTCTGCAGCAGTGTTCTGTGATGTGGCAATGTTAATGTACATGTATCAGCAGGATCACTTCAGAGACTAAACCACTGTCGGTGGAATGACATGTTTGATTTGTTGTGAGTGCCGGCTTCTACAAACTGTCCTTGTTGTTACTTGATGTACTGTAAAAGCCATTATTCCAACGAGGCGCATATATATAACGATTTCCCAAAATTGACTAGTTTACGTGTACGAAAGGTAACGATTCTCACTCATTCTCAACGCTCAATAGGACTGTATATGTATCGATTTCTTTATAACGATTTCTATTTTAACGACAGATTTCTCCTTGTTAAAGGGGAAGTTAACCCTTTATTACCGGATTACTTGCACAGCATGAACCAGGATTACAAATTTCAGCACAATTTCCAACTTCACCAGGTCATAACTTTGGTCTCCTTCACTTGATTTCCACAATCTAGAGCTCGTTGGAAAGCTCTTGGCGTGAGGAACGCCAGGGTACCAAGCTCCATTATCCAGTCGCCACAAATCAGGCGCGGTAACACAGCAAAGTCGTCTCCAAGCCTGATATGCAAGCAAATTCGTCCCATCAACGCCATTCCACTCTCCTTCATCGTAGAACGCTCAAATTTATATGAGACGATTCAAACGTCAGCTGACTACGTCATTATCGTGTGGTTAGTCACTCAAAGAGCACACGAAAAGGGGTTTTCCCCAAAAATGGCGAAGTGATCGATCAAAAATTTGAATTTGCCGAGGTGAGAATACGGCGCGCGATATCTCTGGTGTCCGACATCGTAACTCTTCGGCGATTGTTGCATTGGATAGCTTGGAGTTTCCGCTACCAAATAGACCTTTCGATTGTTGAATTCGCACAAGAAATGATGGAGTTACGAAGATATTACTGGCCTGCAGACTTTCGATCATATATGATCGAAAGTCTGCAGGCCGGTAATAAAGGGTTAAGGCAAAAATTAAAATTTCACCAGTTGTAGTCTTCGGGGTGCTGAGTCGAATGGTCTTGGTCCGAGAAAGCTGAGACGCTCCCTTCCTACTTGAATCCCAATCGAACTCGCGCACTTCCACTGAAACTGGGTGACTGCGCCCTACGAGATGGGGATTTGTATGCAAAATGTCACTATAAGCGCCATTTCGTTCTTATAAAAGCACGGATGACCCCGATTGGCCCATATGTTGTAGTCTTTTGGACGCTGAGTCGACTGGTTTTGGTCCGAAAAGGCTGCGATGCAGCGTTCCTCCTTTATTCCCAATCGAACATGGTTGAACAAGCGGTCACGTGCTCCTGCGTACACCAGTCACCTGGTCACCGTGTCTGCAGGGTACAACTTACTAGCCTGTTTGACCTTTTTTGGGTGCACTCCTGTCACTCGAGTTGAACCTTGGTGTGAAAGTTGTCGCCTGCTGGCGTGGTGACAAGGTGATTTGGGCACCCAGGAGCACGTGACCGCTTGTTCAACCATGTTCGATTGGGAATAAAGGAGGAACGCTGCATCGCAGCCTTTTCGGACCAAAACCAGTCGACTCAGCGTCCAAAAGACTACAACATATGGGCCAATCGCGGTCATCCGTGCTTTTATAAGAACGAAATGGCGCTTTTAGTGACATTTTGCATACAAATCCCCATCTAGTAGGGCGCAGTCACCCAGTTTCGGTGGAAGTGCGCGAGTTCGATTGGGATTCAAGTAGGAAGGGAGCGTCTCAGCTTTCTCGGACCAAGACCATTCGACTCAGCACCCCGAAGACTACAACTGGTGAAATTTTAATTTTTGCCTTAACTTCCCCTTTAACTCGTTATAGTTAGCACTTCGCTATATATATGGCTTTTACAGTAGTTGTTGGGAGGTGTGCAAGGGTCAGCTTTGCATCGCGATGAGAGTGTGAATGACAGTGGGTGCACTGTTATTGTAGGCGTATGCGTGTTTCGATTCCCACTTTAAATAAAGTATACAACAGCAACAACACTGACTGCATGTGGAAGTCACTCATAGTATCACTTCCACCAAGAGTCCATACCCCCCCCCCCAGAGTGTGCAACTGGGATGGGGTTGTGGGACGGCGTAATCCGTGATGTACGTCATTTTTTGGGTCGGACTTGCGTCATTCCGTCGACGCGGTCCACCGCGGACACACTTCCCCTAGGCCCTACTCATGGTGTCACACTATGATGTGCAACACGGATTTCTGATCAGTGAAATTGCTCGCTCTTGGGGATTATGCACTCTTGCTTCCACTTACAGTGCTTACAGTGCTTACGTAGACTTGATGATACCTTAAAATTAATGTGACGCTTGCGCCAGCACTACATGAATGCACGCACTGATTGAAGATGGCGCCGACTGACTTATCGTGCCACTGCTGTTGTGTGATGTTGGTTGCATGGCTGCAGATTGATTACTTATTTTATCAGAAGCCCGATGACGTGCTTCACACAGCTACTGACCTGGTGGATGATGGCGGCCGCTGGTAAGAATTTCAACACTTCTCTGCATGTAGCTACACAGACTTATTTGTTGTAATTATCCAGACATTCTAATTATTCTAATTATATCAAGGAAAGGAGAAAAATAGAATAGTTCCAAGCTCTTCATCACCATTGTCGATCAGAACTCAGCCAGATATTCACGAACCAGTTTTTGGGCATTCTCTTCAAGTGGAATACAAGCAACCGGAACCAATGAAACGTATGGATATTGGATAAATAGCATCACAAGGGTGGTAACCATTACAACTAGGTTGAAGAGAATGCCCGAAAACTGGCTCGTGAATATCTGACTGAGCCCTGATTGATGGTGATGGTAAAGGGCTTGAAACTTGTATTTTTCTTTCCTTGATATTTTTTCTGTCCATTCTAATAATCCTGTTATTCTTAGTTATCCAAACATCTTCCCACGGCGCTATAATTATGTACTTCAAAAAAATATTCCAAAATGCTCACATTGTCAGAGCTGAGATATGCAGTATAGACACAGACTCTGCCAACTCTGAACTGACCAGTACAGTCTGCTTGCGTGCACTCAACTGACTGAATATGCAGTGCACGAAACGAAAACAAGTTTAGTTATGCCCCCCCCCCCCCCCCCAACTCTCAATGAAAAATGTATTGTCTAGACAGCTAAAATGGATTGACGTTTCAGCTATCAATATTTATTTATTTTCAAAATGAAAACTCTCCTTGACCCACCCACGCACCCATAAACGAAACGTTTTTCGTGTGCTGTAAAAGATCGATAATTATGGATCCTAAGCGGATTTCGTGGAACTTACAATTGGGCATACTTGTCGAGCTAGAGTTTCGAATTATCAGACACTGTTATACGGGAATTGTATTGGTCGAAATCGACCCTGGAAGAAAGTTCGAATTTAGCAGCATGTTCGAATTAAGCCATATTTGAATTCTCAGGATTCCACGGTATGGTACAGTTTAAGTTGCATACTTGTAGGAATCAATGCAAAGAACGAGGAGCCTGTCAGCATGTTTTGAGTACGAAACTGCATGCAGCACTGCTAAATTGAAGCATTCAGACCTGCAGAAAGAGGAGGAGCAGTGTGATGCTTTGAACATCAGTTACAATGAGCTTTCAAGAACGGGGATAGGGCAGTGCATTTTTGTTTTCAGATGATGAGTTTTGGTTTGAAAAGCTAGAGCTTTTGACTTGGTGCTTTTTTTTGTTTACTTCTGCTCCCTTTCCCGGCTCAGGGAGGATGCGACATCCGATCATGTCGGTGTGAAGGCATCCTTCATGCGAACCAGTTAGCATGTTCATGTTTACTCCTATCGAGTAACCTCGATCATAAGATAGTTGTGCCTTTAGGCCCTTTACCCATCTGCGAGATGTTATTGTCCAATACGGATCTTACACAGATGTACTATCCTTTAAATATATTTTGAGAAAGGTTAGTTTTGAAGCTGGCAACACAAAAGAATTTCATCAAATAGCTGACTTTCCCAATTTTGCCTGCTTCTAGCTACAAAACCGTTATTTTCTACACTTAACCAGATCAGATGCAATGCCAACTCCAAACATGGAGGTCTTGTTTAGTGCATAAATTACCGGCAACTTCATGTCTCCCAGCCTAAGTCTACATGTGCTTCGATTGAAGGACATGTAGATTTTCATCCCCGTTTTAGTTTCTTTTCTTTTATTAAAGATAAAATCTTTATATTGATCCCCTTGCCCTTTGAAGACCTACGCTTATTCTCATCAGTAATTTATTCTAACTCTGTACGAAATAAAGGTTTCCTGAGGCGTGTACACCCGATCGTCCAGACAGTGGTCCCATGACCAAATGCTACCAACTACAAGTATACATGTAGACAACATGTTAGTGGTAGCTGAGCACCTCAGGTCCTCTTGCCTTTCGGACGTATTTGCACGAAAATCTGCAGTTCCTTGCAGCTGAGCTTGTGAACCAGATGGCGTGTTTCGTGTCCCAGTGATGCTGCTCATGTGCTCGGTACTGTGCAGTGCTGGAAAAGGAAATCCAACCTCATGGATATGTTATAGTGACTCTTGGGGCTGTGCAGCCCTGTAGCATTTTGTGCACTGCCTGGACTGTACGCTGAGCACAGGTTTTCTTTGTGAGGTAGGAAAGCCTACTAGGGTTTCATTGCCATCACTGCTTCTCCGGGTTTACCGGGTGTTAGCGGCCGTTGTAAGTTGCCTTTGGAAACGGCCACGATAATTTACTTTTACTTTTTTTTATTGCTTCTCTAGGCAGCTATGCAGTGTCTGCTCTAGGGTTTTGACCTGGGACTCCTGGAACAAGCGGGTCCAAGTACCTCCAACCAGGTCGCTGATCCAGCTGACCCAGCCCTGGAGCAGACACTGCTACATAATACATGGACAGATGTGCTTGGCGAAATACCCGAAAGTGATACGAATCATACGATTGGATCGGATTTCACGAAGTGCAATTGTACACTGTACTATTATAGACTCGTCCTTCCCCTCCTATAAGTTATATACCGGAAAGTAATTAGTTATAACTTTAGAACCTTCCAAGTTGGAAGGCGGTTGCAGTGCGCACCCAAGACGTGCTGGAGCTGATAGCCAGTTACAGTTGTAGAACCTCAGTAGATCTACTGTCGTTTAGTGCCGTGCAATGTTATCGCATGAGCTGATTGTCAAGTAACTGGTGGTGTTAGTGGACATTGTAGCGTAACTTGTAGTTCCTTGGTCCTTTTCTGTACTATTTAATTTCCTTTTTCCAATCAAGTTACATGTAGTTAGTAGTTACCCCTCCCAGCTATGGACTATTGTTTTCATGGTTATTATTACGGTATCATACTCGGGCCGCATATACCATGTGTATACCGCGTACCGGTAGACTACCTACCGCTACGATTCCCTGACCTTGGACGGGCTTGGTCCATCGTGCATGGTCGCCGAGGGCAGGCTGCAGTCCAGTACAGGGAGTAGTAAAATACCGGTGCTTTACTACTCTCTGCGTCCACAAACTCGGTCCACCGCGATGGTCTAGACAAGACGTGGCTTGCTTCCTGCCCTGCTTCAGTGCTTGGCTAGCCCTACTCGTAACGAGTTACGTATGATCACACTACTAATGCAGTTAGCTGCTGCGCGGGAGCGCCCGCTTGGTTACGTAGAATCAACGGACTGTCTTTGTAAATGGACGTGTCGTGATTTCCCGGTTTGCTTGCGTGAAAAGAGGCGCAATGCCCTTCTTGCCTTTGAATCGATCTGCCGAGCAAATTATGCGAATAAATACCCAAAATTGCTTGTCCTTCTGACGCTTCATTGCCTTTTTCGTTCCTTGTTCCAATGCCAGGCAGGAAGCCGGTAATTCGAAGCAGGCAATATTAATTGTTATCCTGTACCGGTCGTGTCTTCGAAGCTATTCCTTGCATGCACTTCTTGACACGCCGTTGCGTCCTGTGCTAGCCGTGCGCTGTTTGGGACAAGCCATCTTCACGAAGCATCGAATTATGGCTGTGTGACGTCCTTACCCGGCAGCAGCAGCATCAGCGGTGTCTCGCTCGTTGCGTGTGGTGCCCACCTGGCCAGGAAGGAGAAGAGAGACAGGAGATCAGTAGCCCACTGAGCCTGCCGTTCAGGAAACTAGACCGAAGACCATTCAATGCTGTGTCCGAGCGGACAAGCGTGCAGCAACGGAGAAGCCTCGGACGACAGCAAACAAACGCTGCAGCACTATCAAAAGAAACCCTGTAACCCGTAGAAGTGCCGGGGTTCGTTGCAAGTAAGACTACTGCCTGCTTGGCCCGTGAGGATCTAGCCTTTCGGAAAGTTTCCTCTGGCACCCAGGCCGGACTGTGTGCTCTGTGTTCGTGAATTGGCGGATCTCCGATGCCGCTTGGCCTTAGCCCGCCGTGATTAGTAGTAGCTAAGACGCAGCGTAGAGCAGTTGCGACAGGGGAAAGATGGCGGACGCGAAAGCGAGATGGTCTGGCAATCGGCAAAGTGGCAAGGGCGACGCACTGGTGTGGGAGGCACGGCGCCGTTTTCGTGAGAGCAAACGACGGACGAGTGGGACGGCCATCGCCACGGCTGACTCCGCATGGATGGGGGCGGTAGAGGATGACTCGTCCGTGGTGTGCCTTCTTGAAGGTACCTTGGTCAAACAACCTAGAGGTCGCTCCAACAGTTACTTCAAGGGCGCCGCCAAGAGTCGTTATTTCAAGCTCTTTCAGGATCGCCTGCGCTACTATGAACAAACAGTAAGTGAATTTCTCTTGTCAACATCTACCACCAAATTCCGAACTTGTGCTTCGCCCGATAGGCTTGTTTGAGCGACAGGTGCCCCACCTGGCCGTGCAGACATGGTGTCTGTGTGCACATAACAATTTGCAATTTTTCATCCTTGTGACCTGGAACCGATTCTTCAGCTCGAGCTCCCTTCGTTTTACCAAGATCAACAGTAAAAGACTATTGTATTAGTAATGTTGCAGTTCTTTGTAGCTTCCTGTGTGTCGCTGCTGCAGCAAGCAATGACTCACAATACCGGTCCATAGCCACTGTAAAGGTAGACCAGCACTGCAAACAGTAACTGTTCGCTTTGACAGTGACGGATTATTTGAGTTATTCAATGATGTTCCCCCTGCCCTGGCAGTATTGCATAAGGACCTGAGACTATTGCGTGTATGCATGCATCTGCAGTGCCTGAGATCGCATGACAAATAGCACACAACCTGCACAAGTACATCCCCCCCCCCCCCCCACACACACACAAGTTGATCTCTGGTTGGCAAGTACTCTAATTAATATTTCAGAATTTTTCGGTGCTCAATATTTTCGGTATGAGAGCAAAAGGCCAGGTTAGGTGAACAGAAATTTTCGGTACAGAGAAGCAGTTCCCTA